AGTAAACTAAAACATAAATATATTTTACCTCCCAATAAAGTTGATGTCCTTTCACAAAGCTGTAGCTCAAGAAATTTTATAAAACGACTAGATGAATTATTAAGCGTTGTTTTGGCATGCCCAAATACTTCTAGGATTGTATTTACCTGAAATGTACAAAGCAGATTAAACTCAGGTTTTCATTAGTAGATGTAAACTATACACAGTGTTTACAAATAATAGGGAAGCATTCTCTATTAAAATTGCAATGTAAAAAAAGCTAGAAATACCTTTTCTTGTCACATTATTGAGCAGTCACATGAGTGCTTTTCAGCTGCTGTAATCTGTAGTGGTAATACAGCTCTAGGGCTTTCTGTGTGTACTGATAATGCCAAAACTGGCACTAGGTATTTTATTAGCAAAGACAAACAGTTGAGAAAAAGAGTCAGCATATAAATGCACTTTCTAAGAGGGACCCATTTTTTATTATTTATGAATTGGGATGACAAATACTTAAAATCATAGCAAAAGTACAGAACTAATAAAAAATATTACTAAAGCATAAGAGAAATTGCAGCAATCATGTGCACATTGCCAAATGAGTCTCAAAATAGATTGTAAGATTCTACAAAGCTGTAGTTGTAAAACAGCCAAATATTCTCACCCAGTTTAGAAATTTTGCACTCCTTTCTGTGCAAGATGCATTATTTTATGGTGGCTTTGTGCCTCTGGCTACAGTCATTAGACAGTTGTAGGACATGCAGGCATTATCTAACTACCTGATTATTTTATATTTCCAACTATTACCTATGTTAAACCATATGTTACATTTCATTTAGAAATCCTTTAAAGTAAAAAAAAAAAACCCTTTACAAAGAGCAGTGCAATATCTGCACATCCTCAGAAGTCACAGCCAGGACCTTTCACAAAATATTTTTCCAGTTCTGCTAAAAATCGAAGTGGTGCATGTGTGGTGAAAGCTTTCTTTTCTCAATAGAAAGTGAACAAATTACTGCCAGTTACTCTGAGACTTTCAACACGTCTGGAACCTCTTTTCTGATAACCTCCATTGATTTTAAATGCCCTTTACTCTATCGCCACACTGTCACAAGCAAAGCTTTTATTGGTCCATCACTTGCTTTCATCAGGCTTTTTATAGCCACCCTAAAGTCAGCTCAGACACTATGAACCATTGGCATGAAATGACATTATTCTCTTCTGGCTATTTTTAATCTCATGGTGTCTGGTGTCCAGAAGATGCTTAGCAAATGGCTCTTGGAAAAATCTAAATGCAAAGGTTCTAACATCTGCTCCAAACTTATGCCCCCATTCTCTTTCTTGGGTTAACAACAAACATCTACCTGCCCGTTTCTCCTCCTGCCCCTCCCTCTCTTTATTCACACACAAAAAATCCACTGAGTATTTGGGTTTATGGCAATGCCAGCTGTGACAGGTGCAGGAGGATAGTCAACCCTGTCCCCAGTCTATGAGCACCTCTACCTTCTATAAATGTTGGTATAAATACAGCAAACATAATTTTGTATTAGTAAAGAATAAGTCATTTACTTTTTAGTGACCATTAGTAATCTAACCCATATTGGCATTAAATAGATTACAGTGGGCAATGAAGAGTTCAGTATAAAACTTTAAACTTCATGGTTCTTGGGGTAACACCACCATCTACCTGCCCCTTTCTCCTCCTGCCCCCTCCTCTCTTTTTTCACACACAAACAATCCACTGAGTAATTGGGTTTATGACAATAACAGCTGTGACCGGTGCAGGAGGACAGTCAATGCTTTCCCCTAGTCTATAAGCACCTCTACCATCTATAAATGTTGATACAGTATGAATAAGGCAAACGTAATTTTGAATTAGTAAAGAATAAGCAATTTTCTTTTTAGTGACCATTAGTAATCTAACCCATATTGGCATTAAATACATTACATTGGGCAATGAAGAGTTCAGTATAAAGCTGTAGGCTGAGTGGTCTGAAGCAGTATCTGTTCATTTGGAGGTGAAGTAGCACAAAGCACATCCATCTCTAATATTCTGTTTATATTGAGCTATGTGCACCAAGTTCCAATGAGAGATCATCATGCACCAGGGGTGTGCTCCAAGCATTCACTTTCATTAGAGCACCTGAAGCTACTCTATGTCTGAACGGACCTAGTTAAACTTGAAATACAATAACAGCAGTCTAAAGCTTGATAATGCTTTCTGCATTCACCTTTCTACTTCTCTGCATGAAGCCGCAACCATCAAAGCAGCCATCAAGACATGCTCATTTACTCTAACACTGAGGTGTACTACTGGCAGCCCCAGCTTGTCCCACTGGCTGTTTTGCAATGGCCAGCTGTAGCATAGTGTTCATGCAGTAGTACACTTTGAAACTGAGAATTTTACACCAGATATACAGTAATGAAACACGTTACGCTAGACGTATACACTTTGCAGTTCAGATGTGTTGAGAAAGAAAGAGAGACAATAGTCACTGTATTAACTTACATGTTTAATCTTTGAATTAAGGGAATTTTTTCGGGAACTACACCTGAGGACAAGATGTTTAATAATGTGTTTGTAGGCTTCTGTCTTCCCAGAACCACTTTCACCACTAGGAATGAAACAGAGAAATGACATGAGTTACAGTAATAATACCATTATAGAAGACAGCACAATTAGGTTTAGCTGCTATATGATACTTCCGTATCCAGAATACATTTTGTGTAAAATGAAGATCTTTAACACTGAAATATGCTACTTGCATTTGCTTTTACGGTATGAAAGTATAGCAGAGCAACAGAGCCACCTTGTGGTACAATATCTGTAATACCTCTGTTTTATGCTATGATTAAAATGTGCATCTCCTTTCAGCAATGTGCATCAAAGATGTGGAAAAAGGTGAAGTGGTTGAGGCTTGTTCACACACATTTTTCTGTGTTATTAAAAACAAAAAAAGATCTAGGCAATTTGTTTTAGATTCAGTTTGGATTTTCCCCTTTTTTGTAAACAACTCAATAGCTAATCACTCAGAATTTATGTTATTCATAATTTAAATGAATATCTGATTCTAATGAGCAATATTAAAGAGCATTGGACTGGTTATAACAGTTACACATGCACATGGTCTAAGAAACAGCAAGGTACAAAAAGGTACAGTAGTATCAACATGGCAGGCTGCACTCAGGGGTGCAGGGGGAAGTGTCAGGGAATTAATGGGCAAGTTTGCTAAAAGTTAACTTGTCCTTTAAATATAATTTTGTTATTTGCTAACTTTTTTACTGCACTGCAACCCCTGATCCCCCC